GGCACGAAGATAATCGTGCAGACAGATGTTGATGTACAAACCACCAGTGATCAAACGAGCTACATTGAAGAGATCATGATCTTGCTTGGCAATAGCCTTCGCCTTCTCTTCCTCAGAAGCACTAGGCGGCACTGACATTGAGAATCGCCCATTCTCATTGATCTTGAGCAGAATGTCAGCCACATAATTGTGGAAACGACTATACAGCACAAGCATAACGTTGACACCCGCAGGTTGACCAAGAAGACGCTTCTCATGAAAGGTATCAGGCTTGAGCTTGCCTTCCTTCATGGTACGAATCTCAAGCTGATCCTTCAACGAAGAACCATAAAGTGGCGCAAGATCAAGATACGACGAAGTGTCAGATTTGTTCATATCCGTACGATTCGTACGAAAAATATCGTGAATAATAATCGCAGCGTGATAAAACAGCATCGACGAAATACCCGCTGGATTCTCCTGAAACGTCGTCTCATCTCTCGCCATGAGAAGATCAAACAACAAACCAGGATCAGGCTTAACACCGTGAAGTCGCTTCTCCGACTTGACAGACTTGGCGTACGGTGTACCAGCCCTACCTAGATTCGGCTCAAGAATGTTGTTAAAGCTACCGTCTGGCATGCGATACTGATGAAGACCATCTGGAGCCTGGGGCACTTGCTCTCGAAGAAGAACATCTGTGCCGGGGACTTTGAACTCAATTGTATCGTAGAGTTCGCAGTTATGTTTGTGAGCTGGTTTATCGGAGTCGACGACATCGTACTTGACGTCGCCGCCGACGTAGCTCAGGGGCGGATGTTGAAGATTTCCCCAGAGGGTGTCGATGAGTTTGTTTGTAAGAGCTGTACGAGCTTTGGATGATGCAGGAAGAGCGGTGAGAATACCGATGAGGAGCTCAGTAGTTCTACATCAGTTAGCCATACGCTGGAATATCATGTAGGTTCGTGACTGACCCCTTCTTGTCATCAAGAGGCTGACCCTTTTGGAGAAGTTCCTTGACAAGACCGAGGAGTTGAGCAGGACTAGCTTGGCTTCGAACACCAGCAAAGTCCTTCATGAGGTCCGCAACGAGTTTCTCAGGGTTATTCAGAAGACTTGCTGGATCTTCCTTAGAGTCCCCGTAGGACTCACCAGCCTGAAACTTTTCGTTGAACGACATGATGAAAAAAGAAGTTGAGAGAGTGTGCAGAGAAAACCATTCCTCCTTCCTTCAGCGACATCTCAAACTCCCCTTCTTTATACCAAGCATGCCATTCACGAGCGGTAACCACATCGCGGACCCTCATTTGTAAGTGGCGTCGTGGAACAAGAGCTGATAACACAGTCTGTCCAATACAAAGTCTCGTATTGCCAACGGGATGCAAGTTGAGACAATGACGGAAGGTGATAAGCTAGAATACAGCTCTACTGGGATGAAGCTTTGGGAATGAGGGGTTGTTGAGGAACACTGTCTCACAGGCTGTCATTTTCGTGTGAAACCTTGATGTGAGATCTTTCAAGTTTGGAAAGGAGGGTGTGCAGCGGCCTCAAAGATGATCTGACATTTCAATAACCAAGCCTGTACTTCACATTCCTCCAATTTCTTATGCTTTTCTTTTCTTAGTGATGTCAAACTTAAGTTTCGATCTACAAAGTGACATCTCACCTCATCTAGATTACGTTTTCTATCAAAATCTCCTAGCTTTACCGCCAATGCAGGCGGTCCGTTCCGGTCAACCAGCGCGGGGCCACCCCGTACACAATTGGTTGAGCTCAATCTGCCGAAGCTAGACATTGCTGACGGGCGTTTATGCCGTGTAACACCAAAAATGATCGGCATCGGGCCGTCCGGCAAATAGCAGGTGCTGGAGTGAAGCTATGTCTCTTCGGGAATGTTATGCCGTGCGTTGTAAAGTGAGGGGTTGTGAGACCTACCTTTTCATGTGTTGTTTGATTTGCTGGTTGGCTGTGTGGTGTTTGTAATATGTGGATTATGAGGGGAGATGAGAAAAAGTAAAGGGAATCTAGATCTGAATGTTTATGCAGTGAGCTGTGGATTGGAAGACATTGAGAGATATTGGTGAGACAAGTTGTGTACTGACGGTTGAGTTGGAATCATATCATATCAAATCATCAGGCTAATATCAGGTGAATCCCAAGCGATTGGTTATTTTCAAGTTACACAAACCAAACAAGACTAAAGGCATATTCTCAATACCAACCCCTCATGCCAATCTCTTCTCATGTCTCAGATCTCTATCTAACACCGCTTATCTGCACTCTGCAATAATACTCCTTCTATTACACTAATCTAACCAGGACAAAAAAGAAGCAAATCCAACCCATCACAACACCGCCCTCCAAAACATCAGGGTCCAGTCCAAGTACATCATGCAGCTACAACAGTCACCGACTTTCACAAGACCAGAGGCATGCATATCCCCCCGCCTTTCAAACTCCAACCAACAACAATGGAATTGTGGCGTGTCGAGCATCAACTGCAACAGATCGTAAACAGAAATCAAGTCTCAGCTGCACCGTATCACAGCATGCCAAAATTCTCTCCTCTTTTCCTCCGTGCCCGTCACAGGCATTTCAGCCGTCTTGGGTGGAAAAAAAAGAGATTCTCGTGGCTGGCTGAACCGAAAATGCCAAGAACGAATCAACATTCTCCGATTAGCATCCCTACATTCATCATTCTCGTAAGGGAGGAGACAACAATGCATGTGAATATCTCACTCTCGGTACTGTATACATCTCTCTTCCCATCGCAGGTATGCTATGCTACACGGGCTGAGAACCCAGTGGTACGAGCAAAAGAACCACCCAAGGGGTTTTTGTTGTCTCCGCATAAAGGAAGCAGAGCTGGCCCCCAGACCCAGAATCCTCGTCTCACATTGAAATTCCCCCCATCATTCTTCTCTCAAAGATGCCTCACGCCGAGAGCGAAAACACTGAATCTACTGAGCCCAAGAAGCTCATCCTGTGCTTTGACGGCACGGGAAACACGTTCAGTGGTTCCAATGCTGATACCAATGTTGTAAAGATCCTTCGAAAGTTGGATCGTAACAATAAGAACCAGTTTCACTACTACCAGAGTAAGATGCCAGACATTGAGTTGAGGTGCTGTTGCTAACTGTACATAGCTGGAATTGGTACATATGATATCAATGAAACGTCTGTAAACAAGGGTATCCTTGGTGAATTTGGTAGCAACATCTCAAAGACAATTGATCAAGGCTTCGGTACCACCTTTGACGCTCATGTCATTGCTGGCTATCGCTTTCTCATGCGTTACTATGAAACTGTAAGTCTCATCTCCCGGACCCCAACTTCCCCAATTGACATTGTCAAGAACGCAAAGATCTACGTCTTTGGCTTCAGTCGAGGTGCCTACACAGCCAAATTCCTCGCCAGAATGGTCAACAAGGTCGGTCTTCTCTGCAAAGGCAACGAAGAAATGGTCCCCTTCGCCTACCGTCTTTATCAACGCTACCTCCAAGGCGAGATAAAAGATAGCGAGCATGCTCAGTGTACTTCCAAGCACGACAGCTCAGAGACTGACACTCCAGCAACTTGCGACACGACACAGCTTCTGGGCACAAAGCCTGAAGATGTCAGTCAGGAGACTCAGGATGCTTCCAACGAAATTGAAGCATTCAGTCAAACCTTCTGTCGCAAGGAGACGAACAATAAAGGCGAAGAGGAGAACATCAAGGTATTCTTCCTCGGAATCTGGGACTGTGTTGCCTCCGTCGCTGTTCTCGAGCGCAAAGCAAAGATGCCTGTACCTGTGACAGGCACAGCGACACATGTTCGTCACGCGGTAGCCATTGACGAGCGTCGCGTCAAGTTCAAGCCAGCTCTGTTGGCGCAGGACATCAGAGCCGCAGTGCATAGCCATGATGATGAGGAAGACATCAAGGAAGTCTGGTTCCCTGGCAATCACGGCGATGTCGGCGGCGGATGGCCCGCCCAACCTGATGAGGAGGAAGATGAAGCTGAGAAGCCGTCTTTCTGGGGCCGTATCAAGAACGCGTGGCTGACGAGAAAAGCTGGTGGGGCGAGTCAGAACCTGAACAAGGATAGGTTGCAGATGAGCGACATTCCACTCGAGTGGATGATTCGTGAGGTGAAGAAGTGTGGCGAGATGGATAAGTCGCTGCAGGCTGGAGTGCATTGGTGCCATAGTCTCAAGCCATTCGAGAAGAGTATGGAAGATCCTGCGAAGCGAAGAGAAGCGACGCATGGATTCATGCACGATTGTCTCGCCTTCGGGTACGGAACAGCCTTCTTCAAGGTCCTCATGTGGAAGTTCATGGGTAAGTCTTCCCAGACCGTCTCAATCCCAACTAACGCATCCCAGAATGGCTCCCTTTCTTAACGCGCTGGGAACTCGACGACACGACAGAAGCCAACGTCAAGCTCCTCGGCTGGAAACCCGTGACATTCCCTCCCAACAAAGGTTCGTACCGTGACATTCCCCGCGGCGCAGTACTCCACCAATCTCTTCTCGACCGACTGCAGGAGTTCTCAAGCTACACGCCTGGAAACAACCACGGCGACAAGTCGAGTGCTTGTTTCAAGGGTCGTAACAAGGCTTTGGTGTATAACGAGAAGGAGATCGAGGGTTTGTCCGAGGATGCGAAGGCACAGAAGTTGAGTGAAGCGCATTTCAAGATCCATTCTGAGGGGGATAAGTTGATCTGGGAGGATGATAAGAGGCATCAGACGTATGACTTCAATCCTCATTTCAAGGGCGCACTGCACCCTACAATTGTTCAGTAGTGGAGGTTCGTATACGGGATGGGGATGTTGACAATGTGGTTGCTCGGATGTACGGTATCGAGGCTGGTCTGGTTGGAGGATATAACAAGAGCAGGGAAGAGTTTGCTATTTTTAGGCTAATATTGTACCAATCTATGGGGGATTCCTACCTGAAATCATCTCGAATCATTCCAAGAGAAGTGCTATGCCAGCCGCGTCCTTACGCCGAAGCTCATCTTCGTGCGTTCTCTTTGTCACTCCATAGTAGAAGTTATCGGGTCAAGGACATTTCTCGCCGCCTTCGTGATGGTTAAGCAGAGTGGTAGTTCATTCGAAGACGAACAAGCAGACTGATATGTTGGCGGGCAGTCGGGCGCTGTAGGCAGGGTATGCCATCTCGTCTGTCGCTCTTCCAACCGCTCAATGAAAGCGACGAATGACTTATTCCGGTGGTTCTCAATGCCAAATATCTCCGATTTAACAACATTGTACATGAGACTCTTCCACTGTTCGGGCGACACTTCAATCGGCACCATCACTGTATCGTCCGCGGTATGCGATTGACCCAAAGGATTGAGTGCGACCTTCAACTTTTCTCCCTTGCCAGTCGCTTCAATTGCCTTTGAATCAATCGTCTTGATGAACCTGACGTAGGATTCAGCAATACAGACGCATAGAATGCCCAAGATGCCCGCATTTTGTAGCACGGACGAGAACCGCATGGGACACTTTGAGCATTCTAGAACATCTGTTGCGCGCTCGAATGTATTTCGCAAAATCGCGAGATCGTCGGGGACGATGAGTTCGGTACGGACTCCGAGACGATTGAGGAGAAGATAGAGGATCGATAGGCATGCGCATGAAGCGTTGATGTCTGTTTGGGTGAGGATGTCGCTGTGAGGTTGCGCACTGCGGAGGGTTAGAAAGCGGGAAGGATGGCTCGTTCGACGGACTTCTTACGGCGCGAAGCTCTCAAAGTCCGCGAGATAAGGCGGTATATCTGTATTGGGTTCGTGATGGCTTGGGCGCTCCTCTGTAACGGTCGTTATCCGGGCGGTATTCGTTTGCGCTGGTGATGGCCGACGGTCATCCCGACGAGCAGGACTGGACGCTGCACGCGCTATCACGCAAGGCCGCTGATGGTTCTTGGGTCTGCCAGCGCGTTTCTGTAGAGAATAAATACACCCTCGATTAGAAGCGGTGCATTTTGAACACACCGGGTATTCTCCTGAGCATCGGACCTTTCGCGATCCTACGGTTTGGGTACGAATAAGCCAGCTGAAACCGGCACTCAACGTCTTGTCACTTACTACATGGCTCGCAGGAAGCTCTGGCCCGACCGGGCGTAGAAGTCTTGGTGGATATCGCTGGCGATAGCATTTTGTAAGGAATTATCGCTTGTCGTGATAGACTTGGGAGCGTAGACTGTCGATGTAGGGAATGATGCAATTCACGAATGCTCCGAGATTAAATGTTCCGGGCGAAGCCCACTTTCGGACCATTCACCCCGGAGATCAAGCTCGGATGGTTTACACGGATGATTACTGGCTATATTCTCACGATCATCATTTGCTGTTCATGAAATGGTGTAAAAAAGAATTCTTGGTTGTAAATAACTATTTTAAACAAATACACTGGTCTAATGATCTATGTAAACAAAACGCGTGCGTGAGCCTCGGCTCCCAAAGCAAGGCTCACAAGAATAAGAATCGCAACACCAAAACAAAACATGTCAAAACACAATTCCGCTATCCAACGCATATGCAAGAAGTTACAAGAGAAGGGCATGGGGGCAGTCTATCGGTGCCTCTTCTTGTTCTTGCCCTTACCCACCTGTCGGGCTCCTCCGGTGGCAGTGGACTTTCTTTTCTTTGAGACACCACCGGTGGACTTCTTTAGGATATGACCAATGGACTTCTTTGTCGTCCGCTTCGGGATGGCCTTCCAGTTGAAGAGTGCCGGATCATATGAAGGATAGTAATTCATGTCCCAGATACCCCCTTCATCATAGTTGAGCAGAGGGAGGAAAGGTCCATACATGCCTGGACGAGGACGAAGGTTGTTATAGACCTCATCGTTGCGCCGTGCAACCAAGTTACTCAGTTTGAGTGGTGGCTCAGGCCTGAGCGCATACATGTTTGCCTCTTCGATCATATCCTGGAAACACTTCAGGTCCCAAGCTGCCATACTTGCAAAAGCCCAGCGCGGTCGCATCCCGCCCTCGGGGCCAAAAATATGTGGAATCGTCCAGGCGTGGCTCAAATCGCACAGCTGGCCCTCGTGATACTGCTGAGACTTGAGGTCCCGTACAACGATACCGCATCTATGGAGCTGGCGAAGGTTGCGAAGCATGCGCGGTAGATGATTCATCTGTCTCTGTTCCGCTTCTCGTGTCATATCGCCCATATGATCTCGGTGGTCAGGGATCCAGTCCTTGACGATAGCCATGATGGGCAGGTCGACTTCATCGTCCTCCATTTCGATCATATCTCGTGTGAACCAGTCTTCTTGGGGGTGACTGTCTCCCATCGCGGCTCGTAGGTACTCGTCGAACTGAGGTAAATAGAGGCGTAGGTAGCCATGCACTTTGACAGCGAGATGCTCACGACCCAGCTCCTTGAGTCGACCGTAGGCGCGACACTCGTTGTTGAAGGAAGTCGCATGAAGACGTAGACTGTCGACCACTTGCTGGGGTATCTTTTCACTGGCGGTCAATCGCTCTTTCTCTTCTCTTCCGACGAAATAACCTTCGTCAATGGGGTCCATTTCGAAGTTCGGCTCGTGCACATAAACAGGGAAGAACTGGGCGCGCGTTAGCATTGGCATAGTGATTCTGTTGGCTGTACCTACAAACTTGATGACATATAATTTGCCATCAATCTCGGCCTTGAGGACAACTGAGTGACAGCCAGAGCCGAGAAGTTCCAGGAACTTGAAGTCGTGCTTTGAGAGATCATCGGTGAAACACTCTAGCTTTGGGCCTTCACAATCCGGTAGCGGTTTGAGCGTAGGCATTGTCAAAGACACTGTGGGGGGGTGTTGAAACGAACACCAATGATGAATAAAGGACAAGTTTTGAAGAGCATTGATGTTGGTTTGTTTGGGGGTAAGGATATTTTGCTGCCTGTTGTAGTTGTCTTGGTTTCAGGTAATGGAGGTTTGAAGGGCTTCTTCGGGGGTGTTGGGTTTATTAACTTGGAGCCAACAACACCAATACACAGGGCGCCGGGCGTGTTCAGACACAATAAGTTGCTATGTTTCTTTCAGTCATCTGCTTCTTGTTTGAGCATAATCATGGAAAGCAAAGGAATACAAAAATAGCATCCTAAAAAGCGGGACAGCAAACAACTGAATGCGCAAAGCGCGGCGCAACGGGGAAGCCGACCGTGATTTTCTTTGTCGGTGCCAAGGGGGTATTTGGCGGTCTTTCTAATGTCAATAAGGTAGTGTATCATTAGCTGTCAGCAAGGGCCATCAGTAACTCACAGCTCTGCCAGTGAGAAACGGAGTTCTTTGTTACACCACATAACATGCCGCAGCCTCGTTGGGCAGTGAGCCCGCGGTAACACTCCCCTCTCATCAAAATACAGCGCATCTTCGCTTGCCACAGGAGCTCGTCCCTTAGTTTTCAGATCGCAAATTGATGAGCTTGGCGCAAGCAATCAAACCGCGCCGCCATAACAGCAAGCTTTGGTCTCATACCAAACGGCCGCTGGCTTGCCGTTGTGGCGCTTTGGAGTTATTTACAGTAGCTTCTAATGAAATCTGTAACTGATCGCTAGTTTATTAACGTCCTTCTTGGCATCTCCCTTCTTCCCGGTAGTTTATCGCGGAGTTTTTGGGTCGTAGACTGATGAGTCTGGCATGAATATTTCCACGCGCTATAACAGCAAGCATTTGGCTATGTTAAACGAACTTTGGCTTAAATATCGGCCACCTAGATCTATTTCTTATAAATTGTGATGACATGTAGGCCTGGTTGCCGTTTGGTAATGCCCTGTCCTGACTCCCGTTCCGCAATGTCCTGTTTGCTCCGGGAAACGCGTCTCATGGGCCAAGTGTGCTAGTTAATTTATTCTGAATTTATATGACAAGTGATATTTCACAGTTCCTGGTGTCTCTCTATTGATATAGGACGTGCATGGCAGAGAGCAAGACCTGTCACATTTCGTTAGCGCTTTCATAGAGAACATAGTGAAGGGTTCTTCAGGGGCGGTGAACTGTTCATGAGTACGAAAAGATCATTTGAACACTGGTTATAAACCCGGCCTGTTCCCCAGTGAGCAGGACTGTTTCTTTCTGCTTTTACACCCCAATCCGTTTTCCTGGGCGTTGTACCTCGCTGTTAATCTTCACCACTGTATCTGTGTATACTGTTCCAACCCCAGGGAACATGAACATCCCGACTTTGCGAGGCACTCCCGTGCACACCACTGTGATCCAGGTCGAGCAGATTATATCGATCCGAGACACTCTCTCCATATCGAATGCCAACCTTCTCGCCAACCGCACCGCTTCGACGTCTGTTAACAGAGACACAACCCAGCAGGCTATCACGACCGCATCGGCCTCTCGATGGGCAGACTTCAGTCTCGAGGTCCTTACCGAGGTGTACAAGAATATCCTCGATCAGATGGTGATGCCGCCTCGAGGCGTCAGGAGTGGCACATTCGACATCCGGAGGGTTCAGGATGCAACAACCATGTTCATTGAACACCTGAGTCCACCGCTTGAAGAGCCCATCAGTCGAGGCGCAGCCTTCTTGGGAGGTCAATCTAATCGCCAATTCCCGGCTGTCGTGGTCAAAGTGAGCAACGACATCAAATTGAACAAGGGCGTCGAGACTTACAATCCTCCCCTGTCCTTCGTGACGGGAGATGGAGCTCGGACCCTAGTTGTCGGTTTTTTCCTCCATGCTAGAGCATGGAACTCAAACAAGTTGTTGCACACCGAGACTGCGATGGCGAAACGTCCCCTTTTACGTATCGCCAAATACTGTCTCCTCGCCCATACACGTTATGGGTTCATCATGACAATGGACGAAATTGTGGTCGTGCGAATCAAAGGCACAGTGTTTGATACCAAAGCGCCTTGCCATGTGGAATGGCAGGCCGTTCCGTGGGTCGCACAGGGTCCCTATGAGCTGACTGTTTGCCTGTCGATGTGGTCCCTGGTCATGCTCAGCCTTGACGACCTGCGCCTATCAACCTCCCCTTCGCACTACATGCCTCCTCCACACCATATTCCCCATCCCCGATCTCTGAACATCTGGTGGCATTACCAGATCCCTGGAGGATTTTTCTACCGCCATCCTTCATCTGGGCAACGCGAGGCGGACCTTCCAGAAGGAGCCACGTTTGAGGAGGGGCCTACTGAGACCTCCTCTTCGACGTCTTGAGCGTCTCCTCGGCATCACAACACGCAAGACTGCCGCATGTCGACAACTCGGCCAGTCCCCCAATGTCAACAACGGGTACAGGTCTTGTCGCCCCTACCTAGACGCGACCATAAAGTGGAAACGGATAGGGCTTTTTTCCCCTTGTTCTTTTGTCGTGCCGTCTGTCTTTTCTTTCTCTCATTGCTTCTGGTGGATAATTGTCGTGGTGCAGCACGGTCGCTACCTTGGATCTCATACTGTTTTGTCTTGTTTTTTTGTTTTGGTTTTTGTACCATCGTATTGGATACCATAATTTAGCAGTCTCTTTCTCTCTCACAATTCACTTGACGATCGTGACTGTTCGCTTCGAACTGCTGGAGCCTGTGATTCCCCTTCTCTACTTTCTTGCGCCAATGCAAATTAGCGTTTGTCGCATCTCATATCATAAACTCCATGTCCAACACGCTGCCGTCCATGAAGTTCATCCCGTCTCCAAACCCCTGCTCAATCTCCCCTCCCGATCCGACAAACGGTCCGTCCAGCCCAACAAACGGTCCATCAAGCCCCTCAAACATGTCTCCCGCCGGTAGAAAATCTACTTCCTGCACAGCCACATCATCCACATTCAGCGCCTCAAAGACATCCTTCCCCAAACCTTTGAGCTCCTCTCGATACGCCGCCACAGCCGTTTGCGCTCCCTGGCTAAGTTCACCAACGACACTTCGGAAAGCCCTGAACGCCTCGTCGTCAATTATCTTCAGAAGCTTGTCTAAGAGATCGAGCGCTTTTACTGAGAGGTGTTGATCAATGTGGATTGAGTGGTGGCCGGGATTGAGGATCATGTTGGCGAGGAGGACAATCAGCGCTGAGAAATGAGAGCAGCTGCATTGCCTGCGCTTATTAGTAATCTCCCGAAACTTTCTGAAACTGACTTACCAAATTAGACACTCTGTTGGTGTAGCTTCCTGGAATAACTTCATGCACCCTCTGCTCACGTCCACGCAATGATTCCATCCATCGGGTAAAGGCGGTGCTTGATCTTGACACTTCCCAGCGCCGCCAAACCCCCTATTCTCCAAGTTTCCAACAGAGGTTATCGTAGCTCTGCTAAAAGAGCTGATCCTTTTTACCCATTCTGCATTATGGCTGTAAATACCATGGATCATCACTTCTGTCAGCAAAAACGCATGGTGCATCTTTGTCATCTGCACAAGCTGGCTTGGCCCCACTGTCGCAGCGACATGTTCGATATGGAAGACGGTTGGAATGCGCTCGTACCACTGATCTAGCATGGATTGAAGTCGGGATACTCGTCGCTGTCGCTCTTGGGCTGTCGCTTTGCTTGAGCGGTTGGAGTACAAAAGATCGTACACTTTGCCCTGTATGTAAGCAAGTTCCACGCGCCTTCGATGGTAATTGAAGTGGACTTGGCCGTTTTGCGTCCATATTAAACCAACACTGTCAGGTGGCGCAAGTGCAGGGAGGCTAATGTCGATATCTTCATCAAACTGGCATGAAGGTGTTTGTGCGCGAAGACAAATGTCCTAGAAACGTGAGCTTTTGCATTTACGCACTCGAACAACTTACCTTGTCAAGAGTGTACGCAATCCAAAACACGCGCGATCTCTGCTCAGCTTTCGCAGCCGGAAACTGCATCGCCGCTTCTTGTGAGTGCAGCTTTAGTCTATGCGCCAACCTAACCGCTGTTCCAATAAGAACACTCGCGGGTTTCGGGTCGCGACTATTCTGGAACAGCATGACAATACCTAGTAAGATCTGAACGCCGAGCAAATCCTCATCACGCGTGACAAGTTCCGACACAACAGTCTGTGCATTCCTCAAACATTGGTCTGCTTTTTCAATGTGCACTGATTGGCTGTCTCGGAGTGAAAGCTGCGGTGTGCGATATCCGATGGCCATGACGGTTTGAATAGCAGCCCACGACGCTCTGTCGCGAGTTTCGGGTTGTTTATACCATGTTGTGAGAAGTTTCATGAACTCTGACTGCTGGAAGAGAGGAATGACGCCGTTGAAGGTTGTGAAGTAGTGGTCTACTATAGGTAGAATTTCATCGAGAGGGGGTAATTCCCACGAGTTTGGTTGAGGACCCTGGTAAACTGCTGGATTAACTGGATCGAATTTCCAAGCAAATCCTCGTTTGGCCATCTCTTCAAAAGTTGCGGAGTTGTTGATAACTGATTCCGCTGAATCACCTGGGCTGGAATGGTCATCTTGTGGCCATTGCGGTCTAGCAGTTTGAGCATCTTTGGCGGCGTTCAGAACGATTTGAAGCTGTTCCTCAATACGAGCTAACCTTGCTTCAAGGCCTTCTTGGCGATTGTTCCTGACAACAGTTACTAATTTGAACAGCAAAGTTCAGAGAAGGGGACCGTACTCTTCTTGTTGTTTAGCCCCTGCTCTAACTCTCGCAGAATTAGGCTTCCGTCTAATGATGCTAGTTCGGCAACTTGTATTATAAAGAATGCAATTTGAACAATCCGGCTTTAGCATGTCGCATTTGATCTTTTTTGTAAAGCACAAATCGCAAGCTGAGATATTTGTCAGCTGGGTCCGTATCTTAACTAGAGTTGCTGACCTTTGCGACGATTAGACGGTGTAGGATCCGTCTCGTCGGGAGTCGACATGGCTGAAGTCATTCAGCAAATTTCGTAGTAAATATAGGCTTATAGATTCCGGTGATCAATAGTGACGGGCTTATCTCAGTTGACGATGTAATGTTGAGAGTTTTTGTTGCAGACGCGCAATGAGATGAAGTGAGGTTGAAGGGCTGACAAATCCTCCGTACTCAGGGTCCCACATGGCCTCCTCAAGCTGTCGACCGTCAGCACTAAATTTAGAACCGTTGAAATGCCATGACATGACATGAGTTTGTTTCAAGAAAACGCAATCAATGACTCAAAATAAATACCCTCTACTCTGATAAACATGTCTAATCGCAATCAACAACCCATAATCCATCAAGCCTTGACCTTGCCATAAGGAACTTGAGGTCCCGAATACTGAATGGCACGAACAAACTCATTCTTGTCCCCGTCCTGTACGAGCTTCTCATACCACGCACCCATATCCTGGCCAAAAATCTGGATCACTTCAGTGTCGCTCGCGTCAAGCGGTTCAAAGCCCTTTGCAATCTGCGCAAATTGAGCCCCAGCGACACCCATGCCCATCCCGAGATCAGTCTCAACCATCTCCGCTGGCTGAATCGCCCCTTTGACGCGTCCCTCAATAACATCACTAGCAAAACGCGGTTCTCCCGCCGCAGGACGTCCAATACTAACACCATCAACAACATCAAGCGCGTCTACCATGGCGCCCACCGTTCTCAAACCACCAGCGATAAAGATTCTCATTTTATGCGCTGGATCTAGAGCTTTGGTGATGGTCTCCGCCCACTCAAGAAAGAAACCCTCGCGCTTCTTCGTCGACTCTTTCTCCCACGACAACGCCATGCGCTCATAGGTGCCGCCGCTGAGTTCAACAAAGTCAAATCCCAGTGCCTCGAGTCTTTCACAAAGCTCCCTTGCTTCATCGGGTGTGACGCCGCCGTCTTGGAACTCTACGCTGTTGAGCTTTGCGCTGACGATGAAGGTCGACGAGACGCGGGCTTTGATGGCGTTTGCGATCTCGGAAATGAGACGGAGTCTGTTTTCGACGGTCTGAGTGCCGTATTCGTCAGTGCGCTTGTTGGTAGTCCGAGAGAGGAATTGAGAGAGCAGGTATCCGTGAGCTGCGTGCAGTTCAATGCCGTCGAACCCGGCTTTTTCGAGATACTCGGCGGCGTGGGCGAAACCTTCAATGATCTGGGCGATTTCCTCCTTTGTTGCGGCGTGTGGCTTGCCAAAGGTCATTCCCATCTTGGGGTCTGTGATTGTCAGTACATGTTGCCGAAGCGCAGTGAGCTACTCACCGAGTTGAACGTCAGAGGCTGAGATGGCGACTGGGTTGGACTTGTAGGGAACTTGTCGCCCGGGATGGTTAACTTGAGCGAGGAACAGGGAACCGTCCTTCTTGGCTGCTGCGGCCAATTGCTTGAACTTTTCGAAGCGCTCGCCTTCAAAGGGAGCATCGACGGGGATGCCGGGAGACCCAGCGGCGCCGACGGAGTTGAGATCAATATCTATATTGCCAGTGACAACGATGCCAAAGCTATTCCTGCCTTCACCCCATCTAAAGCTGTCAGTCTGGTTTATCTACTGGCGCTGGTGAACTCACCGTCTGTACAGCTCAATCAGCTCGTCGGTCGGGATTCCTCTCTTGGAGATGATCTCAGGATCCCAACTAGCAAGCGACTCGGCCATTGGCGATTTGAGTAACCTGTTCTTTGCGACTCGGCCGGAGGGATGCAAATGGAGTTCTTGGGCCAAGGGCTCAGGGCTGACGTCTTTGGAGGTGTAGCGGACAGGCATTTTGACGACTGTTGTGATTGAAGTGGTAATTGTAATTGAAGTTGCGTATTTAATGAACTCTTCGACAACGTCTTCCAGTCGCCATTTATATACAGCGACATCCTGAGAGTAATCATCTCAATGCAGCATCATTACAAAGCTGAGCACGCAACACGCATGCTGCGGATAGACTCTGCTCCATTTTGTGCATGACCGATCCGAGAAGCAGAGTCCGAGCCAAGATAAATGTTCCACGGCCTTTCAGTGGCAGGGCATCGCCCAAAGATAACCAAACTCATGTCCATGGCGTTCCGAAACAGCGCGACTCTGGGTGATGAGAGTACAAGTAACCCAAATTTGCAAAGTCCACGGCATTCCACGGAGTTGGACAAGCTGGTAAGACCAACCATTATTCAGCATTCAACGCGCGCCAAATTACAAATACAATAAGACTAGCTATCAATAATTAAAATAACATATTCTTGCAATTAATTATTTACTGGCATTATACTCGACTTTTCAAAAATGGCAATTCGCGGTTTACAAACACGGCCCTACCGACGCGTCGTGCGTGAACCCAGTGTACAGAAGAAGTTGAAGTTGGGGAAAAAATACACAAAAAAATTGGTAGCTTCTCTTTGATTGAGCGTGTCATCCTTAGTGCAGGGGCCATGCTAATCTTCTCTGTATCGTTTCCTGTGAGGACATATTAGCATGAGTTCGAACTGTAAGACCTTGGAGGATATCTCCAAAGTTATCCGGTTGCACCTACAATAGACCAATGTGTCCCGAAGGACGAAAGGGGATTTGAGATTACAGATTATATACCCTTGGTTTGCCACTAGTGGTATCATCGGGGTCCCTGGTCAAGGTGACACTGTCAGACTCTGATGCCTTCAACATCCATCCTTTGTATCAATCAAAAGGCTCTGAACATAGTTCTCTGGTCTTTTTGATCCATTGGAGAGTGCTTTTGTTGCTTGTCAGCGTTGGAGAAAGACCCCATGGAGGCAGACTCAACCCAGCATGTCTGACGATCGCAAAGTGGGAGTGTCTCTCACTCAGATCGCTCAGACAATCAAGTCATTCTGCACAACCTACACAGCAATAAGTTGTTGCTTGATTCAATTTGCAATTTTTGCAAGTGTGAGTTCTCCCGATCTCAAAGAATGACTGGTGTATTGAGTTTGTGTGCCCTACTGCTGGAGGGTGGTGGGGCTCATGCGGCCTTAAAAATGTCATCCACCTAAACCGATTGAAGACTGCTCTACGATGGTTGTATTCTTCTTTATTGATGACTTTTCATTGTTCTTAAAGTATTCAGATCATTGAAATGCTATAATACTTCTGGATGGCAGCTTGGACAGGTGTCACCTCTTCTAGCGAACAAAGACCCGACCGTTGGGGCTCTCACTTCTCCAGCCAAAAGACTATTTCACGTAAAAGACGAGGAATGAACGGCAACCAAGTTGAAGAGCCCATCATGATGCCATCTATCTTCATTCCTTTCATTTTTGTCTTGCCTATCTCAATCAATTGACAAGAGTCGCGGGGGCCGATAAAGATGTCATTTCTCTAGGTTGGCACAGGGTAACCACTCAACGTGTTCAAGCGGTCACGTCGATCAGACTTAAGACTACTAAATCTGTCTGCGAATAATCCCACATATAAAATGACCAAAACGAATACAACTGCTTGAATGAAGCAACACCGAATGCTTCTTTTTGAGATTGACATCGCGTTCTATCATAGATATGTACTCATTCTTCGAACTGAACCACGTCGCTGCAATCTCCAGTATCTCTCACAAGTGCCAGCAACACCGAATCTTCCCAAACATGGAACAGCAAATCGACATCAAAACATACCAAGTAATAATAAAAAAACACCATCAATGCCACTCTTTGTTCTATTCAACTTGCATTACAAATCACTTCCCCCGTCTGGACGCCGACACAATAAGACGGGCTAATCCTCCCGACACGCCCCCACAAAACCTCACCGTTTCGTCCGCTCTTCGTCCGTAATTCATCCGTATACATCATCAACACCCTCTGACACTCCTCACCCAACAAACTCCTTCATATTCACACTCTCTAACATCTCATTTCTCTTCGGCCGAATGCTCGTCTCGTAAAAATGACCGAATCACCCGCCAAGCGCCGCAAAGTTCGAAAAGGAACACGAAGCTGCTGGGAATGTAAATCTCCCCTCCACTGTCATACACACATAAGGTGCTTACAAGCCCAGGCCGTCGCCGTAAAATAAAATGCCAATTCTCAAAAGAAGACGATCCAATCTGTATAGGCTGCACACAGCGCGAAACAAGCTGTATATCACAAGAATATGTCCCCACGCCGTCCTCCGCTCCTCAAGACAAGCGTCTTGCCCAGCGCCTCGGCCGGCTGGAGGAGCTGATGGAGAAGTTAGTCGACAAGCCACTCCCTTCACCTGAATCCGAAGACCCTGCGCTGGAGAGGTTCACGCAGCATACAGCCGATGTGTTCGAATCTTCGGTCGTGGATAATGCGCAGCAGATACTTGATCAGCCTGATGTTTCGATCGTGACACACAAGTTCCCTTCGCGCTCTGCGAAAGCGACGCATGTTTCTGCGCAGCTGCACGCGCTTTTCCCGTCGCAGCAGATTTTGTATGCTATTTCGCAGCAAAGTCCCGGTGCGCGTTTTGTTCTTGCAATGTTTTATTCGCAGCAGGATCAGATTGACGGTAAACCTGAGCCTTTATCATCGCTGGCGCAAATACCACCCGTTACAAGCCATCCCGCCATTCTCGCCAAACGTCTCTTACAACTCGCTGTCTGTCTACAGCAAATGCCCCCATTCTTCGATGGGAGTACCCTCGGTTTGAGTAAATCGCCCCGCGAAACTATGGAAGAATGGATTGCTGTCACAGGACGTCTGGTCACGTCAGACGATGACTTTGTCGGGTGTTTGGAAGGTCTCGAGTGTCTCATCTTACAGAGCTTTTACCAAAGCGACGCAGGACATTTGCGAAAAGCGTGGTTAACAGGTCGTCGGGCTCTGAACATGGCGCAGCTTATGGGCATTGATCGCAAGAGCGCAAAGTCAATCAAATCCGTGGATCCATCATTCAGCAACAAACATCGCCCTTCACCACCGGTCATTTGGTTCCGCATCAACTGCAACGATCGCTACGTTTCTCTCATTCTCGGGTTGCCAATTGGTTCGCGCGATAACAGTTTCGCAGAAGACAATGCT